ATTCAACGCATTTTTGTTTGTAACATGTGTTTTGAATGGATAAATTCCTAACACGTGTTTTTAAAGTGCTCATATCATTATGTGAGTAATATATCAACGTTACCCAACAATAATTACTTTACTGATTTATACTTTTACCTTCACCTTTAATTTTACAGGATGAAGGTACATTCGTATGGGCCGAATCTGTAATACTTGGAGGTGGTTACAGCAACTGGATTATTGGAAACAGACCAATAGATGACGAAGATAAAAACTGCGTACGAATAACAACCGATGGCAAATGGGAAGTTAGGAAATGCAGTGAGAAGAACAACTATATATGTGAAAATGATGTTTAACGATTAGGGGCAGTTCTAACGAACCACGTGGCATTGTAATATCTTTCTCATTAAACATGTGTAGTTATTTTGTTATGTTCCTGACAAAAGTCTCCAAACATATAAGCATTACTTCAGTGAATGAATACGACATTACACGATCATTCATTGGATTATCTCTGTATATTATACAAATGTAAGCAACTTAATATGACACTCGACGGATATGTGTGCGGTGGTAAGACGTTTGTGACAGAACACAAAATGTTCTTTTTTATTTATAGTGTGATGGAATACTTAGTGTACTGCACGCCATGAGACCAGATATCGCCATGGCGATAGATTAATTACAATAGCATAATGCTCAGTCTGTATATTGTCAAGGTTCACCTGTATAAATTAAACTTATATATTGCAATTATAGTAATGTACATAATAAATGAATTTGCAATAGAATTTCATGTCATGTTGGGACTTGCATTTAAGTTTGATTTGTACATATTAATTATAACCTTTGATATATTAATGATTAGTATATACATTAATATCTGATAATTGTAATTTATTTATTCATAAAGGCTTATTAAATAATGAATTTAATGTATATACTGTAGAAATATAACCAGAGAATATAATGTAGCACGTCAGATTTGATAATTTGCATGATAAATATATATATTTGTTCGCAAAATGAGTGTAATTATTTGGATGGTACGGAGGGGTTACGAGTTTATGTGTATGTCTTTGTGGGAGGATTAGGTTATCAATGGATATGTAGGGGGAGTAGTACTAACGAGGGTGTTTAAAGAGTCATGTCAACAATTTTGCGAAAGATTTTAAAATAAACTATACAATAAAAGTATTAAATCATTTAGTATGCAGTGTGTATTCAGCATGAGTGCACGTGCTTTGGTATTTTTAAGTTAATAGCTTAGGGTAGTGTCACACGCAACGTAATATTACCGTAATTGGTATAGTACAGGTGTGATGGTTCAAATACCAAAATGGCAACAGTAACAAAAAGACTTCCCTGGCGGCGATGTTAAAATACGAACACGGAGCCAACAGATGAGGTTTCAACTGGTACTGGTATTATTATACTCTGCAAACATCAAGTACAATAACGCGGTAAAGCTCCACTACTCCAATAACTAGATACTTAAACTCCAATACAATTCAACGAGATCTCCGATCTGATCTCAGTGCTGAACAACTCCCCTATATATACCCACACTGTCTATAAATAGACCATTACATCAGCATACATAATGAGTCTGGAACTTACTACACATTTCTAGAATGTCCCATTACCTTCTATTGCCTCCTACAGTGTTCTATTACCTATTCAACCATTTTCTAAACAAATCTAGAATATTCCACCCAGACACAGTACGGTTCTAGAACATTCTCAGTGACACGGAAGTGGTAAATAAGTCGTATGCGACAGGTAGGAACCTCTGATTACAAACTTATGAACAACTGGAACCATTAAGATCAACTTGTATCTCCGTGTAGAATGCATATGACAATTGACATTACAGGATTAACTTACAATGTAGATATATGACGAATGCAAATTGTAATATTGTCCCGACATTGAAATATTTTTTTTTCAACTAAAATTTAAATGATTAGATTTTAGAAGAAAGAAAGTTTTTAAAATTGTTCCCATATTAAAGGATAGGCACTTTATGAGATCAATATGAGAGGCGTTTGGTCAGACGTACAACCAATACGAAGAGTATTTAATCAGACTTCAATAGTGTCATTTTGCAATACTTTAAAATTAATATTCATTGTCTTGGGTAAATCACTTCTAACCAAATCTTTTTCAATTTGTGTGCTCCTACCGCAGATAGGAAAACACGATTGGATTGACCTCCGTCATGTCACACAGACGTATCATTATAATAATTAAATATTAATTATATTCAGGACATTCACAAACAACAGTATAGACAAACCAGTTGTTTATTACTTGCGTATTGACGATGGAGTCAATAACCGCCAAGCTAACGACGTTACTTAGCCTAGGCTGGTTAAGATGGGTAAATACCGAATACAATTCCGAATATAATTCATTACAGAGAAGAACGGGTTGTTTATTACGTACGGATCTCGTTTAGTATTGTCCACATTTATGTTCCTGTCCCGTTATCACTCAATAATGAGTCGTTGTACTTTATTCATTGAATATTGTATAATTTCAGCTACGCTTAGAATCTTTAAATCATGCCTCTTGAACTGATAGTGTTGGAAGAAATGAATAACCATTACACAATTGTCATATCTAATGATATTTATTTAAGATAACTCGAATTCAATATTATATACAATATATTCGGACTTTCATTAAAAATATTGTTTATATAACAATGTATCCTAAATCTTCAATAGCGATTGCTTAGAGACACAACGTGCTTTCATATAAACACAGATTGCTTATAAATGTATCTGAGTCATACTAAAGGTGTTTTTGAGTCGTTCACTCATAAAAAGCAATAACAGTACTGATTCGACTCTGCACCGTACAATTCGTGGATACAAAGTGTCAATACATGACTTAAAATGAATTCATCTATGGTAATTTACAATAAATGTAATAACAGTCTACAATTCATATCTAGTTTCAAACGCGGTTCAATTTTAGTATTATAATATATGTATAACTTCACTGCAAACGTGTTTAAAATAAACTTTTATAAATTTTTGAACAAATGCAAATTTTCCAACAAATATTATTCTGTATTTCTTTCTCAAGGAATACACATTGCGTTGTGTTCGGGGATCAGGAAACATCGTCTCGCTTGGCTGATGAATACACATTAGTTCATTACAGATAGTCCAGCATTATTCACACACGTAGTCAGCTGAGGTAACCCTTCGATGTACCGTTCTCTCGTTCTCCCCGTTACAAAGGTTACAAACTCTCTATATTAAAAGTAATATATTATTGCACGAAAGTAATATATATAATGTAATATATGTTTATAATCCCCACCCTAAACATGCAAGTTGTTGATTCTAAACAATAGTCTAACGACGTGTGAACCGAATGTTCGAACGCGAAGTCGCTATCTTAACACTAAGTTTGAGTCGGAAAATTGCTGTAGTTCAATAAGTACCTTGGTAGTAATTACCTCAATGCCAAACTTCCAATACTGTAAACGGCTTAATTATTCACTGGGTTAAAATTTTGCTTATTTCGCTGAATGGAAAATACGCTAAATTAAAATCCCAGTAAATATGTAAAATTTAGCATAGAACACATTACCTAAATGATAAAACCGTGAATTTAAAACCCACTGAATATGCCTGAAATGGTAAATCAGTGAAAATTAAACCCAGTGAATATTAGTCATTTTACAGTATTATATTTTCATGGAATTTGTTTGCAGCGGGTAAATGGTTTTGTAAAATCTAGATTCAGTTTTTTTAGCCACATTACCAAATATTCAAATATATCTTAAGTATATTTATATAGGCATATCTTTAATAATAACTAGGTATTGCGTATATGACATTTGCATATGTATTTTTTGATTTTGTTTTGGCTTTCCCCCCAAACAAACAATAATCTTATAAAAAAACATATAGTAATTTATTATTTAAAAAAAATACAACGACGGAATGACAATTATAATAAAATGTTTTGGACTATTGATAATTTTAGTATGTGTTTAAACAGTATGAATATTGAATTATTACATAACAAATTTAAAAACTCGTAAAATATGTTTATCAGGTTAATAAACATCGTCATAAAGATGTGACCAGTGGCAACATTGCGTCAAATTCAATTGCTTTGTTTTTTGAACAAACTTTGACTTCATTATAACTGGTTTACTCTTCACTTTGGAGCCTGATTAATACTGACAAAATAGCTTTTCTTTAGTGCATTTATGAAGCTATCTTAAATTCTCAGTATCTCGAATACAGCGAGTCTGTTCGATTCAGAAAACTCGAACGTCCGGGGTCGATACGTTTTGTGTTCTACAGTACAAGATACACATATAGGGCACGAAAGTTTGCTCAGAATGAAAAAAACAAAATGTAATGAACCGTCAGTTCAGCCATCATAGAAGTAGAGTAAAATCTGCCATTCATTTTGCTGTGTATTTTCACCAAATAAAATTATAGAAATGCATTTTTCAACGTATTTTTGATATTAAATTTGTCATCTCTATTCAAATGTATGTTGTCTATTTTTACACGTCATTTGAACGCATCAACGCATTACAATTTATGAAACATGGGTAACCAATATAAAACTCAAAACATACAAGTAATGCTATAATTCTTACTACCCTCGTTCGAATTAGAATCCAAAATGGGAACTGTTTGCTTCATCGGGACATTTGTTTATAACGTGTCACTTCATATATGGGAACAAGTTCAGATTGTGCCTACTTATTCTCTACCTACAGCACGTTGTCTTTACATGCGACTTCTATTATGTCTTCATATAGTACGGTGAGCTTATTTTTTCATGTTTTTAGCGGCTAAACTGAGTGGAACTCTATCTAAGTTACAATAAAATTGATATTTAAATATATTTTTGACGAACGTCATTCAGTCATTCGATTGTGTTATGCAGATGTACGCTATGTTGATCTTTTCCGTGATGCAATGCAAAACACGGTTCAAAAGCGAGCGCGTTTGTATTCGAGGTACCGATAATTAGGTAGCTTCATTTTCACAAATCAAATTGATCTCATTTTTGCAACCATTATTCTGCCATTTTCCACCGATATTTATTTGTACACAGTTTTTACTTTTATCAATCTTCGGTTTAGTTTTCCAGTTATTATATTTGCCCAACTTTATAGATCCATGCCACGCGAATTGACCTTCCTCCTGTGTAAAAAAAGGAAACATTATTGCACGAAAGTAGAGCGTCATGAATATGGACAATAAAGCCTGTTCTGATTGGTTTATTCAAATCTAGCTCTTATGCAACAATTCCCATATACCGTTTTTGAAATAGATAAGGACAATCACGATATAATGAGTATACACGTGATTAAAAAAATATGAAAGACATCAGGTATATACTCTATGTATCTACATATCATAATCGTTTGTTGTGTCTTACTGGAATGCATAATACAAATACCAACCTCTAAATCATTTAGACTAATCCAATATGGCGCATGTACGTTTGCTGTGAAATGTCCCATTATGAAATTCTGTTCCTTCTTTCCGTTTATGGTAAGTAAGTGTCCGCCTCTATCGCCACAGTACGTGGATGCATCTCCCCATTTCATTGCCTTGTTCATTAAACAGTACGTGTTCTTGGTTTGTGGACGTTCCATGTAGACTTCGCATATAGCTGAATAACAGATAATAATTATAATTAACAGTAAAAATGACATATGATGTTATATGTTTATCAAATGTGCCTGAATATTTTAACCGAACATAAACGAATAAAATTAATCTGCAGAAAAAATCTTCTCCTTGCTAGCATTAGATTTGGAATTGCGCCGAAACTCTGCACACAAACAAAATTTATTTTATTTCCCATAAAGGTATATCATGTCAATCACCGTCATATAAAATATGATAAAAACTCTTGCATATTTTAATGAGGTAATATTTGAGGAGATATGTTTTGAACTCACCCAGAATGTTCACTGTTTAAAACAAAAACACAACCCTGTTTGTTTTACATGTAATTAATTATGTAAGCTGAATTGTAATTACAAATCGGAGTTGTATTTGGGTAGGAGAGCTGATGGCAGGTTTTGAAATGTATAAGAAAGTCACACTTAATGCTATCAAATCATGGTACACGTGTTATAGGCTAGAAGTAAGAAATACGTTGGAGTGTACATGAATGTCAATTTCAGTGATTCTTAATCAATATTTTGAAGTAATCTATGCAATTTCAATTGTTATTTAAAAATACCGAATACTTGTAAATGACAGCGCCAAGTGCGAGGAATATCGTGACGGTAAATTTCATGCGAATAGCGTTGTCTGTACTCACTCTGACATATTACTTGTTTCAGCTTCCCCTTCCATACTCCATTCTTGCATTGCAAGCTAGATTTCTCAGTTGAAAAATGTGGATTACATGTAAGTGTTGTTGTTCCTTTATGAGTAACAGTTCGTGGTCCACTGTATACACCATTGTCATCAGTCGGCCGTGTGCAGCTTTCTGAACACGAACAATATAAAACAAATTGGTTAAGACATATCGATCGACTTTTAAAACAGTAAATTACAAAAGTCTAACAATTATTGAACAACTATTTTTGTGTTCTACAGACACACATATAGGGCACGAAGTTTTGCTCAGAATGGAAAATAAAAAATGTAATGAACCGCCAGTTCAGCCATCGTAGAAGTAGAGTCATATCTGCCATTCAGTTTGCTGTGTATTTTCACCAAATAAAATTATAGAAATGCATTTTATAACGTATTTGTGACGTTAACTTTGTCATCTCTATTCAAATTTATGTTGTCTATTTTACACGATATTTGGACGCATCAACGCATTGCAATTTATGGAACATTAGTAACCAATATAATAAAACTCAAAAA